GCCAGCCAGGGGCCCATCGTGAAGCATGGCAGTGCCAGCCAGGGGCCCATCGTGAAGCATGGCAGTGCCAGCCAGGGGCCCATCGTGAAGCATGGTAGCCCCAGGTGGAGGTCTGGGGTGTATACTAGAACAAGGGTTCCCCTTCTCTATCCACCAAGTGTTGGCTGAGGCAGAGCTGGGCTGCCTAGAGAGGGTGGCTGGTTCTAATTTGTGCAAAGGCACCACATGAGCTACTCTGGCTGAAGAGCTTTGGGGGTAGCTGAGGATTTCAGAGTTTGGTCCTGCAATTGAAGAGAAAGTACTTGCATTAGTCAGGGGTCTCCAGAGAAACAGAGCCAATGGTTGGTTGGTAGGTAGGTAGGTAGCACACATCTGCATCACTCCAAGTCTATTGTTTATTTCAGTGTTAATCTCATCTAAAAAACACCTTCACAGGAACATCTAGAATAATATTTGACTAAATATCTGGACACTGTGACCTAAGCAAGTAGCCTAGGCAATAGATTAAAGACCACCCATCTGGGAGCCAATCCAGGCAGATCCACTTTTAGAAATGGCTTCTGAGCCATAAGAGAGAGTAGTTTGTAGAAATACAGATTCGTATTCCTTTCCCCCTCTCATTCACCCTAACCTTTCCCCTGAGTGGGAAGCAGAAGCTTCCTGAAGGACCCTAAACCTGCTGAACCAAAGGGGGGGGGGGTCTTGAGGTCAAGGACAGGCTTTTGAGAGTCAGGAAAGTTAGGTGAGCTTGATGAGAACAGGAAAGAAAACAGTGGTGTCCTGAACAGAAGCATCTTGAGCCCTGCCTGATTCAGTGCCTGGGGGATGGGGGGTGGGGTGGGGGTGAGGGCTGGCAGTAGGGGCGGGCAGGAGGGCATGTAGCCCCAAGCTTCTAACCTTGACTGGTTTTCACAAAACACACAGGCAGCAGAAGTCCTGGACTGCAAGAGCACCCCCCTTCCCACTCCCTTCTCTCCCCCTCTCCCCCCACTGCATCATATCAGCCCTGCCCTGATTTCTGGGCTCCTATACAGGCATGCAGAATTCTGCAGGAGAAAGTGGTCTTGACACAATTAAACTGAGGTAAAAGAAACAGAGAAGATGACACACATGTCTTGCAAGCCTGAGTTTTAGGTTGAAATTTGTAGCATGCCATTATCTGCATTTACAGATAAGGAAACCAAAGTCCAGAGAAGTAAAATAACTGGCTTAAAGCCACACAACCAGTAAGTGACTCATGTAGGAATGAAAGGTCTTTCTGATGAGGTAGCCCTAAAATTTGTGGTTGATGCTGTGGAAAACTGTTTGGAGGTTTCTCAGACTGCTAAAAATGGAGCCTCCATATGACCCAGCAATCCCACTTTGAGGATTGCTGGGATTGCTCCTAGTATCTACCCAAAAGACACAAAAACACTGATTCAAAAAGACACCTGCACCCCAATGTTTATTGCTGCTTTGTTTCCAATAGGAAAGATATGGAATCAACCCAAATGTCCAAAAGTAGATGACTAGATTAAAAAGATGTGGTACATATATACAATGGAATATTACTCAGCAACCAAAAATAAATAAATAAATAAATAAACACATGCCTTTTGCAGCAACATGGATGGAGCTGGAAAATATCATGCTTAGTGAAATAAGCCAGAAAGAAAAGGAAAAATACCAATGGTTTCACTCATAGCAAAAGTATAATGCACCAGGCAAGAAAATAATAATAATAATGAACAGCTATATACCAGAGACATTTTATGGGGGTGGAGTGGGGAATGGGATCAAAACTGGGGGGAGGGAAGTACGCTGGATTATGGTGATGGCACACGGGTGACTTGGTGATGGGAAGCCCACAGGGATTGCAACTGAGATGGAAAAATGCACAAAGTGATGTAAAAATAAACTATTATTTTTTTTAAATTGTGGCTGAAAACCTTCAAATATCTACAGGACAAAGTAAAGGTATGAAGCGTATCAGGTATAAGAGTTCTGCTATTCCAATGTGGTCAGATTTGGTCTACAGGGACACAGCTCATAGCTGGCACTGGTGTTTGTTGGGGGGGGGGGATGGGCAGGGAGCAGGGCGGACAAAAGGGGATGACGGAGACTGTGGGAAAGTCCAAAACTCAGACTCAATCTTAAACAGGCGATCACTGCACTTGTCACAGGAGGTGGCGTCTGTCTTTAAAATCAGAAGTGTAAATCTAGATTTTAATCTGCAATCTTCTGATTTGTCTACCTTTGATGATTTTGCAAAAATTTCACAAGAATGAAGGAAAAGGCATCTACATTCACATTCCTTAGATTGTAGTTAGAGTGGCTGCTTCCATAGCTCCAAGCCTCTGGGAGGACAGACCGGAACTGGTTTGGACCGGGAGCCCCGAGGCAGCTGGGGCATGGGAAGCAGGTGATGAGGAAGCCGAAAGGGATCCCCTCTGGGAAGTGGCCGTCCAGCCTAAGGAGGGTGGGGAGGGGGTGCAATTTGGGATGAGGCCATTAAGTGCTCGTCAGCTTCCCTCTTCCTCCTTTGGCCAAAGGGTACAAGTTTCTCCTTCACTGGATGTTTGTGTGTGTGTGTGTGTGTGTGTGTGTGTTTGTTTTTCTGGGACATGGTAGAGGGGTCTTGAGTTCTTGCTGTTCAGGAGAAACAGGGGAGCAGGGGAGCTCTGCATGGCTGAGCTGCTAAAAATGGTTGGTGCCCTGGGCAACCACCCCCAAAAGCACCCCCCCACAACCCCCCTAGTCTCACCCCACCCCCACCTTCACTGCCTTCCAGGAGCCAGAGTCCTGGGCCCTTGTGGCTTCCTCCCATCATCCTCCTTGTCTGGGACCTTGTCTGGGACCGGATGAGGAGAGGGGTGATTCTCGGTGACCCAGACTGTGCCCTGTAGGTGCCCTGTCAAGAAACTCTTTGGAAATCCCAGAATGACTTGAAGCTTCCTCTCCCAGCCACATCCTGCATGCAGCTCAAAGCAGGGGGCAGTCAAGTGGGGGCATTGCCATCTTCTCCGCCTTCTCTGTCGCTCAGAACCCTCTGAATGATGCAGGCTGAGCTCCAGGTGGGTGAGTAGCTGTGCAATATTCTTACAGCCAGCTTAGGGGGCCAAACCAGGGGGCTTCATTCAAGGGCCTCAAGGGAAGAGAACCTGGGGAGGAGCCAGTACTATGTCTAGACAGCCGCTTGGGGTGTGGGCAGACTCATAGTGGGGCTTCAGCTCCCCAGTTGCATGAGATGGAAGAGCAGCCCACTGAACCAAGGAACACCTGCAGCCTCCAGGCCAGCAATTTCTAAATACTACCAGGGTCTTTTCAGAGGTTCCTGCCCCTACTCTCCCCACCTTCTCTCTGCTTTCATTCTTCCTTTATCTTCTCTCTTTCACTTCCCCACTCTCCAGGCCCTCCATCCTGACCTCTGGGTTCCAGGATTCCAGGGGCCACAGGACTGCGAATGACCCCACCAGGGGAGTTCATTGATGTCTCCGTTGCCACACAACCCCCCCCCCCCCCCCCGCACTCCCCCAATCCTTTGCAGGCACCAGTTACAATTGTAGTTGCACTCCCGGTCTCGACCACCAGGGGGCAACAGTTGCTGGTCGATGGCTCTTGAGTCTGGACCTTTGTGGCCTGCAGGATAGAACAATCCTGCCGCGAAAGTGAAGGAGGGTGACGTGGCCTGGTAGGGAGATTTCAAAAAGCCAGACCTTGCTTCCTAAGGTCTAGCTGGCCCTCTCAAGTGGTAACG